ATGCATAATTCGTTTTCCTTATTTTGTGACTAAATATTTATTAGAGAAGATGAAGAATATTTTATATTAAAAAAAAAAATTATCAAATAAAACATTAACAAATTAATATATTTTTAGAATATCTTACTTGTCGTGTTTTGGTTGCATGTTATCTTTATGATTTCTTGGTATTACGACTGTTGCGTGTTGATGGTTACCATTATCTGAAAATATAGTATTAATCCATTTATACATTAAATTTTATTTACCTTTTTCACTATTCTCACCCATTTTATTTATATAATCGGCTTTCTTTTTATTTTTTCAATAATTATAATTTAAGGTTTTGATGGTGAGTATTACCCATCATTTCGGCCTCAATAGAGCGCCGGCTTGAACGAACCAGATTTTAAGGTAAGAAAGGGTTGGAATTTTTAATTTAAGAAATGTTTTAACATTTCTTTTCATTATTATTTTTTTGTAGGGCGCCGGCTTGAACTGACTATAAGGAGGGAAATTCGGTAAGGAAGTTTTCGATTTTTTGTAAATAATACTTTCAACGAAACGTATACATTCCATTTTTTTTCTTTGTTTTGTAGGCTGTGGTTCGAAATATTTTTTTAAAAAAAAAATTTATTTTGTTTTTTTTTTTAATTTATTTATTTATTTTTTTTTGTAGGTGTCGATTTTTTCGGCTTTTTGGGACTTGGGTATGCCGAGAGTATATAGTATTTAATTATGGTACGATATTATTTGTTTATAGGTACGATTCAAAATCATACCGCGGATATAATTAATGGCGATCATTTATTTTACGTTTTCAGATACGCTTGAGACTTTTTTTTGATCACATTTTCAATTCGTGCCTGCGAATCACAATAATTTATCATCAAATTTTCTTACCTACGGTTGGATAGTTGGTAATGATTATGTGATAAGTTGTAGGGACAATGTAAAACATCTATTTAAGCACAAAATAGTACACTGCTAAGCTAGATTACTATGGATAACGAAAGTGAACATACATTGGAGTATCGTTAAAACAAAATATCGAAAGTGTTTGATACGATATCTTGAGTATTGGATTAATCTGCTTTTAAAAAAACAGATGCCTCTAATCCAGTTAACGTTCCAGTTAAAAACTTAGAAGGTAAATTTTTATTAATTTTATTAAATACTCTCAAATGTATTCTCTTTTTATAATAATTTCATAATCGTAAGAATTTTTGGTTAACAAACATGAGCAGCGATACTATATTAAAACATATTAAATAATAGAAAGAAATCCAATTTTCTCAAACTCTAACCCTAATCCTACAATCTCATCAACTACTGATACTATTGAAGATTCGACGCACTGTCTGTGGTTCATTTATATTTTAGAGCTGAACTGATACTGTATATACTTCACAGATTTCGGTTAATGACGTGAAATAATTGTTAAAAGGAAATATAACAATATTTAATATATCAACGTTGGCGATTGACAAAAACACGAAAATCCTTTCGAAATTACCGTTCTGAAAAGTCCAAGCAGTCCCAGAAGTCCAGCCAAAACCTATGAAAACTGGGACGAAAAAATGAATTAAACTTATCGTTTTCCAAAGTTTGTTAATAAACCTTAGTAGTATTAATAGTAGAGAAAATAAAATTTAATAAAGCCATTGATTTGTGGCTTACATATTATCATCTTTTTGATTGTGGCTTTCTTGGAAAAACTATGTGAAATTTTCTATTCTATTACATATTACAAAATTATCGTTGAGTGTGTCTTTTCGTAAACAATGTGCATTTTTAATTTTACTATTTTGCTACAGGTTGCAAATATATCATTTTTGATTAGGGGCATTCTTTATAGCGTGTATCCTTTGATTGTTATAGAATTTGTCACGTGCGTAATAGGAATAATTAAATTTTTTTATAGATAAAGATAATTAAATATCTTTATTATGATGCAATAATAGAATGAATAACGAATCAGACTTTAACAGTTTCCATTTTCCTAGTTAATTATTACCTTTCATTAAATTAAGAAATAGAAAGTATATCAATTTCATTTGTTTTATTACTTCCTTCTTAATCCTAATATACGCGCCTTCTCTAAATGCACTATTTTGAAATTATTTTTAAAACTTGACATTAAAGAAAAATAAAATGTTGTACAGTAATCATCCCAAAATTTCATTTTTTATTAATTAAATGCTAAATCTTAAATATTTGTTAGACAAAGGTGGAAACATTTAGTTATGAAAAATTCTCGCTGATAAATAATTTCTCAGGTAGTGCTTAGACAGCACACTGTAAAAATTTTTATATAACTATCCATAAGATGATAAGATCATGATCGATTTGGATTTATTGCTGGATATGATATCCGCCAGTGGTACAACGACAGCCAATCATTCAACATCCACCTCCACATTGAATACTCCGTGCCGTGCCTAATAACGATACATATTCTTTTATTTACATAAAAACACACTTATTCTACATAAATAAGCAATGAATACTTTTATTTCGTATTCAACAAAAAAAGTAGTATTTTTTTTAATAAAATATATAAAAATTGTACTAAACATCGCCTGGTCTTCGATCACGTGACAGATTTAATATTTTTGATTGGCCAGATTGGCCACATGATCGCGTCATTTCGGTCAAAGTATTTTTCTTTTTTTCTTTTATTTTTATTTCTAACTTACATTCTTACACTTTGTTTCTTACTAACTCTATTTCATTATTTTTAGGTCCTTTAATCCTTCCGGTTCTGCAATTAAGGTTCAGTTGTTTTTCACTTTACATTTCGTTTCTTACTCATTTTTTATTTTTTTTTATTTTGTTTCGGTTTCATGTTTTCTTTCGGTTCTACAATTAATAAAGGTATGTTTTTATTTTTTATTTGTTTTTTTTTTATTTCGTTTCTATCTTATATTTTGTTTCTTACTAACTTCATTTTTTTTTACTTTATGGTTTTATTTTTTACTTGGTTTTCTATCATTATCTTTTGCTACCCAACCTCCTATCATGATCATTTTTTTATTTTTTGTCTCTCATCATTTTTCACCTCCTATTACTTCTCATTATTCCATCCTTTTCGTCTCCCATTACATCTTTTTCAATTTCCATTACCTCTTTTCCTCTCCTGTTTATTTCCCATCATTTCTTTTTGTCCCCCATCACTTCTTTTCGTCTTTCGTCTCCCATCACTCCTCTTCATCTCCCATCATGTCCTTTTCTCCTTTTTGTTTCCTATCAATTTCCATTACTCTTTTTTACTCCCTTTCATCTTCTATTACTTTCCATTACCCATTGTTATTTCCTTTTTTATTAGCATCTTTCTTCTTGACCATTGTAATTTACTTATCTTTTTTATTTATTGTTATTGTTTCTTTTATTTGTATCACTTCATTAAAAATAAATACGGGGATCTTTTCTTTAAAATCGTAAATGTGTGACTTAAATTTTAATATTTGCAAATAAAATTTCATTAGACAAGATTATTTTGAACAAATGTGTTTGAAAAAAAAAAAAAATTTTTTAAATATCTTTTGCGATAAAATTTTAAGTTTAGCCGATCAAAAATTAGCTGTTAAAAAAATCAGCCGTCATATGTGACATATTTGAAAAAAAATGATCGCTCAGGCGACGTTTAGCAATTCCCTTTAACTAATTTTGTAATTTTTTATTTATATAATTATGGTAAAATACTCGATTAAAATTTATAAAACATTTATTTCTGTTTCAAATAAGATATAAAATATCATTTTATTTATTTGATACAAATTTCTTATTCTAAAGTACGAATTCAACTTCGCAAACGTTGAAATAATGAAAGCATAGAACACAAATTATTTTTCTAATTTCATTATTTTTTAGAGAATTAAGCAAGCTTCTTCAGACAATTTAAGAATATCTGGATCATTATTATTTCGTGCATATTCAATAAAAAATACAAAAACAAGAGAAAAGTTAGAAAAAGAAATAGAAAAAAAATTAGGAAAAACATTAGTTTAGTAACGAAGGATAGTTTAATACAAGATGTGACTGACGGAAAATCAATTACTAATTATTGGGCCGTTAAAAGTATTTAGATTATTTTAAATTAGTTTATTAGATAATTTTAGGATAGATATCTTTTTAGTTATAGACAAACTGGATTTTTTTTAAATTTTTATTGAATCTTTTTTTTAAAAAAATTTTTTATTCTTCCGGTTATCGTATTTTTTTTATAATGTTTTATTTCTTTCTTTCCGATTTTCTGGAAACTTGAAAACTAGAATTTTAATTTCTTTTTCATTCTCTTACTTGAATCGATGATCAGATCGACGCTGCGGTGCGGTGCTATAGCAAGCACCTTTTTTCCGATTTTTTATTTATAACTAGTGTTGACCTAAGTTATTGCCCCAAGTCTATTAGAATAAAACCTTCTGACCTGATTATTACTCGAAAAATTGAAAATTTCAGAAATATATTAATAGTTGGTCGCACTGGTGGTGGTAAATCCACGTTGGCCAATGTACTAACTGACACTAGTAATTTCAAAGAAAGCGCTTACACAGTTAGTCAGACTAAAAATTTTAAGAAGGTTGATTTAAATGGAATGATAAAAATTTTCGCGTGGTTGATACTGTTGGAGTTGGACATACTAAACTAAGTACAGACAATACTTTATTCAAAATAGCAGAAGGAATCTTTTCAATGTCAGAGGGGATAAGCCATGTTTTATATGTGATTGATGGAAGATTCACAGTAAAAGAAATAAACACATTTAATATGATTAATGATTCAATTTTTAAAAGTGGTGTTCTTGATTATGTTACTATTGTGAGAACTAAATTTTCTAACTTTAGAAATGAAGAAGAGTGTGAAAAGAGCATGAAACAAACGCGCGAAGGAAATAAATTAGTGGCTGAAATAGTTAATTCATGTAATGGTGTCGTTCACGTGGATTAATCCCTCAATAAATATTATTATTGAAGAAGAAGATGATGATGATTATAAAGATCGAATTTTGGTTAATAAAAATGCCCGAAAAAAAGTCAAGAAAGAAGGTATTAGACTACTTGGAAGAAATATATATATTTCAAATCAGAAAATTGAGGAGTATTATGTAATAAGTTTGTATATTTTTTCTCATGATTATTTTAATCAATAACAACCTTTTTTGTATTTTCAAGCAACCTTTAGTGATCTCTTTGCAAAACAGCTTTTTAAAATTATTTCTCGTAGAAGACACCATCAGAAGACGTCCGTAAACACTTTGAAAAAGCTACAGAAGTTGATGGACGTGATCGAAAAACACCTCGTCAAAAGTGTAATTATTGTGGAAATGACATTATTGACTTAATTGATCGATTAAAAGATCATTCTATAGAATGTAAAAGTCTTCCAGAAGATTTAAAATTAATATATATTATAATAAAATGCTTAAATTTTTATTGCAAAATATGTATTACGTAGTAAAGGCTAGTATAAGTGCTTAATATGTGTTTAAATTATTTTCTCTGTGTTTAAAATATTATGTAATCTTTTTTTGTAATTGATTATAATAAATAAACGCGTTACTAAATAAAAAAAAGTTTTAAAACAATAAAAAACTGATTTAAATTGTTTTAAAACCTGTTTTAAATCACGTGAAATCCCTATTAGGTAGATAATCTATATTTATAGTCAAAAGTATAATCAAAATATAGTCAAATGGAATTTTTTTTATATGAAAATATTTTTTAACGTTCTTAATAACTAGCAAAAAATTTTTTTGACGTTCTCTTTTAGCTTGAATAAAAATGAGTAGCAACACAGAGCGTAAGTATGGTATATAACTTATGTGAAAATATAACGTAATCTTTGCGAACTCATTTTCACATCATTTCAGGAGACAACGATTATTTTAAAATAATCCCGTATGGGATTTGGTCTCTCGAAACTTTTGTCACCTATGCTCTTTGCAAAGATATTTACGTTGATAAAGCGAAAGCCCATAGAGAGTTTTATGGGGAGCTGCAACGCATTGAAAATTGTGGGTCTTCGCAAGCCAAACGGGCTAGAGAGCTTTTACAGCAAAAAAAGGTTAGTAGTGATCAAAATGGTGGTATTCTGCTAGTTTTTGCGCCTTCGTTAACTTCGACTTGATGAAGGTAGGTAAGATCCTTGGTTTTAATACCTGGTCCTTGTTAACTTCGACTTGATGAGGATGGACCGTACCTTTGCAAGTAGTTAAATTAGTACTTCTTTGAATAAAGGTCTACTAATCTTGGAGGAAATATTGGTTATGTATTCTTTATATATACAAAGAAGTTATACTGCCATTTGATTTTTCGCTTTTAATTTGATTCTACTTTCTGGAAAATACTTTTTTACACAATATTTTTTTTTAAAAAAAAGCTCGATATTAAAAAGATCAGAACGGCATTTGATTGTTTAGAAACCAATGAAAAAAAAAGAACCGAACATCCCGAACAAGACCTTCTCGAGCTAAATTTCAAAAGACAAAGAATCGATGATTTTGAAGTTAGTATACTTTGAATTTGAATTTTCTCCTTGATAATATAACTGATAATATAAATCTCTTTTAATTTTATAGTCAACGAGTACGTTCGGAATACCGGACTATAATTCCGTTTATAAATATTTAATAGATATTAAAAATTGGTGTAAGTGCTTTTAAACTTTTGTTTTTTACAAGATTTATTGAATAAATTAAAATCATTTACAATCAATGTTTTTAGACGGCAAGGACATCGGGATACGACCATGTCCGATTAAGTATATGCGACCGTGGTGGTTTAGGCCCGATCCGGCTAAATATTAATTTTTATAAAACTTAATAGCTTTAAAATTTTTAAAATTGGAAATTCATGTTGTAAACCGTTTTTATTATTTTGCTTTTTTAATTAGTTAATTCAAAAGTTTTTATCTTATAATTTAAGCAATCAACTATCTACCCGATCTGCCGTGTTCATTGAAATAAATGTATTGACATTTATAAGAAAACAATGCCACAAATATTTCAGTTGAAAAAATTTCATCATTAAAAAGCAGAATAAATAAAAAAACAACAATTTAATACCTTTCAGTTTTATGCTCACCAAGAAATTTAAAAATATGGCAATGATAATATTATTTATTATACTAGCTAAAATTTAATCGATATTTAGAAAACTACTATTACTCCAACACTTATTAATAGCATATTCCTTTGAAATTAATGTTCATTATGCAAAAGGTAATCCAGAACTACAAGAATTGACTTACATTGATGGCTCAGCTCTGGTTGTAGTTAAGAACCTTTATGGCAAAGATTGTTCTGAACCAATGCTAAGATTCCGTATAATTCATACGTGTTTATTCTTTAACTCCAGGATACTTACTAGTAACTGATTTAAATACAACGGACGTTGCCGCCTCTTCAGCTGTATTTGGATTAATTATAAATTGGCCGGGTGAAATACTTTTCGTAAGAATAAAATAAATATCTTATTATAAAAAGTTTTTAAAAAAAATCAATTTTATAAAACCGGAAAGAGAGAAAAGATTCAATAAAAATTTTTTACAGCTGATTTCATGAGACCTGGGACAAAATAAAATTTTGAACCTGACCGCTGACCCACCGATCCAGTTCAGTTGTTATTTATTTTACAAATCAAACTATCAAATCTGGATCACGTACCCAACTAAAAATACCGGATCAGCGGGTCGGCGGTCGGGTTCAAAAATTTATTTTGTCCCGGTCTTATGAAATCAGCTGTAAATTATCCGAGCAAAATTTCATTAACCGGGAATATATCTGATATTAGCAGTTGTTGGGACGTCCACATGTCCTGATAGCCAATCAAGTGAATCAACCATTATAGACTAGGAAACGGGAACCGTTGTTTGCGATTTCATTGTGTGAAAATCACGTGGCAAACAGAAGATTCACGTGATCGATTTTTTTCTTCCGGAGAATCAGGCACAGACAAATCATACGTCGCGCAATTCAAAATCATTTATATAAACGTTACAGTTACACAGGAATTTTTTAGTTTATATAGTGATTGCTGAAATCCTAATCCTAATTCCTTTGATTTTTAAATTCTGGACGGAATCCTTATTATAGTAACACACAATTTTTATTTTAATTGAATATATGATTGCTTATTCCGGACAGAATCCAATTAATTAAAACATATATAGTTGGTAAAATTAATTTTAAAGTCAATATTTAATTCTTTATTTAATATATCATGTGCATTATATACAAATTTACCTAATAAACAATTAGCGATAAAAGAATTTGTTTAAATTAATTGATTTCTAGTTTCATCAAGACCTTTATGATGTACAAATTCACTTAATAATATAACAATCAAAACTGTTAAAATAATTAAATTTGCACTTATATTAGCAATAAAAGCTTGAATTTTTGATAAAAATAAAATAGACCAAATTAGATCATGCCAAAATGCTAATATGAAACTTGTTAATGACCAAAAAGTAAATGTCATTAATGCAGAATTATTAAACATTTTCATTTTTCTAATATGATATTTAAATCTTAAATTTCTTCTTTCTTCTCTTTCATCTTCATCTCTAATAATATGAGTTTCTTGGAATTCTTCAATGATCTCACCTTGTCCTTGAACCAAATCAAAACTTTGCATTGTCAAATTTATAAATAATCTTCCATATATACTATATCCTATTACCAAGATTGCACATGAAATTCCGTAAGCAATTAATCTTGTTGAAGTGAATACATTTAATAAAAATCTATTATCTTTCATTCTAAAATATCCTGATAACATTGCTGATCCAGATGTTATTATAATTAATGTAATTGATATTGTCCAATATAATATTCTTATTAAATATGATTTTGGCACGCATATTATCATATTAGTTGTTGAAGATTGATGATCAGAACAAGATGGTTGAAAAAATGGCATATGAGGTAATGTACGAAATACTCCCGCCAGATAAGTTATTGCAGAAAGTTGAGCAGTTATCCATTGTGCATCTGATATCATTTCTCGATATATATAATATGTTGGAAGAACATCAATTATTAACGTTACACTGCATACAATTCTCGCTATAATAAAATTTGAAATTAATCACATGATATTAATCTAACAATATTAAATGAATGATGTTTTGTTTCTTACCTATACCCCCTAGCATGGAAAATCCTAAAAATCCTTCTAATGGTGCTATTATTCCATTCGATAACAGATTTAATTCTCGATGTGCTATTAACCTCATAATTAAGATTCCCTATAAATTAAAAATAAATCAACTATTTATCATTGATTATGCAGTATAAAAATCAATACTTACGCCAGCCAAGAGTGTGAAAATTGTTGCAGTTACTAGATTAACGTAATATGTTATTATGAAATATTGTGATTCATAACATTCGCTTATAAAGATTGGCCATCTAGTGAATAATGAAGAATTTTTTAATATGGAATTAAAGAGTGTGAAATTATCAGAGATCAATATTTTACTTACTGACAATACATTTTACCGTTGATTAAATTTATAGGCTGAGATTGATTCATTTTTTAGAATAATAATTATTTTTATTTTCTTTTATTTTATTTTGTGCTATTTTTTATATATAGATATTACAATTCTCTTTTTTTATAACGTAGTTGAAGAAATATAGAATATCAATAATAGATTGAGCCTATTTATGCGTATTAAGTGTGTTGCGTTTGAAATGTAGAAAAAAGTTTTTTATTCTGGATTTTTCACTGATTATTTATATTAGAACGACACCTTAATATAATTTTTTTCGACCAAACCGAAAAAGTAGATTATGAATTAATCCTATGTTATTTATGTTGTGTAATTGATATTTATGTGGGTGTGAAACCCGCAAGCTAATTTGTGTAACGAAGTTTAAAATTTACTAAGTGGCATAATTGATTGCCTTTGTCTTGCAGTAATGACAACATTATTTTCTAAATATTTTATTTATTTATTTATTTATTTATTTTTTTTGACAATAATAAAATATACAACACGCTCGGCTAACCACCGCATGTATTAACTTTTTACCAAATAAAAAATAAACCAATTAAATTATATTGATAATCGAACCTAATGTTTACATAACAGATATTCAAAATTAGTTTTCGCCTGAAAGGTTGAAACATTATAAAGTTATCAATAATTTTTCATTTTCTTGTATAATTTATGTATTTTAATACATAATCTAATGTAAAATACATTTCGAATTATGCAATACTCATAATAAGTCAATATTAAAGTTGATTGAGTCTTTTGAGATCATTGTTCATTATAATTAAATAAGTTAATAATACTTCTATATATTAATTAATTACTTTTATTCAAATATAAATTTATTAAAGAAATTATGATTTACGTTAATCTTATCCGATATGCCAATGGAACACTCCAACCAATTAATATGAAATATATTTGTTACAATAGTGTCCATGTATGGATTAGTTCGGAATATGTGGAATTCCATACATTCCCATACATCCTACGTTTTTTTTTATAAAAAATTTACTAATTTAGATTCTCCAATAAAAATTTAATATTTTAACTTACTATATTTAGATTCTTAAAACCTTCACTTAATTTACCAATAAAACTTTAATATTTAAACTTTCACAAAAATAAATATTGCGTAATAATACTTTATAAAATTTGATAGTAAATATTTTGTTATAAAAAAAAATAAAATATATTTGTTATTTGTAACGACATACTTTGTTTGATAAATATTATTATTACGTAATTTATAACTAAGAAAAGATTGTAAATTAATAATGTGGACTTTCGTCATTGAAATCTAGAATTTTTGGATTGTTCAAATGGTTAAAAACATTGGGAACATCATATTTTGATGTGATGATCATACTAACTATTATTGGTTTAGTTGTTTATTTAAGATTGACAGAACACAAATTCAAAAAAGGAAATTGAAATAATGCATCCAATTATTAATAATGTTCCCCATTTTCTTTTTCTGATTTGGAGCGGCATGTAAAGAATATTTAAGTGCGAGTTTCGACAAACTCAGTTGAATTATTATTTATTATCAGTTATTATTATTTTAGTTGGGTTAATCTTATTGAGAATATCATTATTTTGTACTACATTTTAATTCTTGCTTAAAAATTTCGTAGTGCTTATGTCGATCATATCATGAGTTCATGTGAATTCGCAGCTAAATTCAATGAAATTTATTTTTAATTGCATCAAATAACTAACCTTTTTAATAGATGCGATCAATAAAAAGGATTATGAGATAACAATTAATTTCTTTCTTACTAATTTGGATATTTAAATAAAATTATGTTTTTTAACGATTAAAAATATTTTTATTTAAAAAATCCAAATTAGTAAGAATAACCATATATATCATATATATGATCATTACCTGCATATGTAACATAAACATTTATCTTTATTATTATAGAGTTGGATGAACCATTTTTTTAAAATTTTAAGCTTGATTGAAATATTTTTCTTTAAATTTGTTTTTATTGTTTGTTTTTATTGTAATGGGTAAATTTAGCAAATAATACAGTATTACCAAAATAAATAAAACTGATAAATTCCTTATTCGTTGTTATAAAACGCGATATTATTAAAGGGTCTTATGCCCATCTAATGATTAGGCTAATTTTTTTTGTGAAGGAACAAGAATCCAAGAATTATCACTAGCCATAATCGTACAATAAGATGACTAGGCATTCAAACAATTTGAATACACTTTCTAATGTAACATAATTGTAAAACGATCACGTGTTAGCGCATATAGAATGGGGTTCCTTAACGTACACTGGGGGCGTACGATATTAACGTACGGAACTGGCCGGAATTAACGCACGTGCACGTGCATAACTCCTCCGCCAGTTGTACGTTAAGATTGTAAACCCCCTGTAAGATAAGGACGCCCGTTATGTTTCAAAATTTCATTCAGCAATCGAGCCAGCTAAGCCTCAGTCTCACTTTACATAATAACAATTTTCAATTAGGGAAATATGTTATAGTTTCACAAAAAAAAATTATTTTGTAGTTTCGGAGAATGCGGAGTCCATATTTCTGGGAACCAAAAAAAAAAAATGATTGAACGAAGAAAATTTGGTTAATATGAAGTACAAACATAAAACGGTATTACAACATGAATTTTCCAACCATTTAATTAATTAATTCATTAAAATAGTTATTGTAAAGTGCAAAGTTTTTATTTTACAATTCAATTAAATCAAATTTATTATTTCAATTGAAAAAATTTTTTTAATATCAATCATAATTAATATGTGAATAATTATAAATATTGATCATCAAATAAACAACAAAAAAAAAATGAATATTTAATACCTTTCGGTTTTATGCTCTCCGAGAAATTTAAAAATATGGCAATGATAGTATTATTATTTATATTATTACTCCAATACTTATTAATAGCTTATTCCTTTGAAATTAATGTTCATTATGCAGAAGGTAATCCAGAACTACAAGCATTCCGAATTGAACCTTACATTGATGGTTCAGCTCTAGTTGTAGTTAAGAACCTTTATGGCAAAGATTGTTCTGAACCAATGCTTAATTCATTCAGCAAATGGGACTATCAAGCCTATTGATATGTCTCTACCAATACCAGATTTTAATTTTAATAACTGTAAATATTTTAATAAAAGTGATGAAAACGTAGAATATGATATAGGAGTTGAAAGACAACCTGGAACACGTGTTTATTCTATAACTCCAGGATACTTACTAGTAACTTATTTAAATACAACGGACGTTACCGCCTCTCCTGCTGTATTTGGATTAATTATAAATTGGCAGGGTGAAATACTTTCGTAAGAATAAAATAAATAACAATCTAATAATAATAATAATAATTATTTTATTGAATAGCATTTTAATTAATTTTCAGGAATAATTATCTCGGTGACGCATATATTAATAATGATGGTGTGCAATTTTCGAGTAAAATTAATTTTTTTGCTACTGAACCAGAGTTAGGATTCTTTGTTTCCGAATTTATTACTGGTTCATACAATATAAAATGGAGATTTTTTAGTCAACCGTAAGTTTTTCAATATTTCTTTTTTTAATTTTAAATATATTAATAATCGTAAAATAACTTCGTTATTACACAGTGACGAAAGAGGACAAATAACCTTAAGTAATGAGAATATTATTACATTTACACAAATAAAATCCGAGACAAGATTCATTGAATTTCCAACAATTGGTTATGGATATTGCGTCATAACCTTTGGTTCCACTTCATCTTTCAGATCACCAGTAGATCCCCCAATTATGGGTTTATGCGACATTTGTTCAAGCTAAAACTAATAAAGTGTCAGAAACCGCTTTGATTTATCAAAATACTAATAACCCACCATTAAAAATTGATGATATCACATGTGGAAATTCATTTATTATTGTTGGTTATTCTTGTTTTATCGCAGTATCAGATGTTAGTATTAATGGTGGAAGATATGTTGTACAAGTAGATTTTTCATCTACTGGGTAAGTTTATTTTTTATAATTCTTTAAAAATGATGTCACGCGTTAATTGAATTTTGCTATTATTTATAGTTCCGTAACGGATATTAAAGAAATTCGAGGTTTAAACATAACTAAGGTTGACCATATTTTCATGTCAATTTTATTTAATGGAGGTATAATACAAATTGTTTTGAATATACTAAATAAACGTGTATAAATAATATTATTAACTTTGGTTTTATAGGATATTTACTTACCATACACACTAGAATGAACGAAGGAAATGATGATGTACTAGGTTATGTACTTGACACAAATAAAACATTTGGAATCTTCCTGTACCATTTGAATTACCAAAGTTTGGTACCCAATGCCAAATAATTCAGTTGTTGCACTTAAGCAAGTAGGTACAAGTGATATTTGGAATATATATTATTCAGAATTACCTCGTTTCATAGAAGGTAAGAATAAATTTTGAAAATTAATTGCTAATACAAGATAGGAATATATATCGTTATAATATAATAATCTAATAATTTTATTTATAATAGATGATGGTTATTTTAATCCAATTATCGATTCAACAACTCCAAAAATTAATGATACTATTCCTATGCAAACTCCATCTCTGAGCATTTCATACAAATCACCTGTAGAACTTTCTTCAGGAAACATTTCAATCTTTGAAGTAAATGGAAAAGAAAGTTATTTTCGACAAAGTTTTAATGGACAGACTACGGAGTTTTTGACAAGTGACGATGATAAAAAAATTACAATAAATGTTTTTGAAAGTACGTTTAATCAAATCAATTTTACTATGTGGTTGTTGAAGATGGGTTTGTGAATCATAAAAACACAAAAGAACCTCTTTTAGGTATCAAGAAAAATCAGTGGTATATTCTTACAGGTATGGATTAATAACTAAATTTATTTTTAAAATGTTACTGATTAATTTATTTATTTGTATCTTTTAGGAGGGACTCGAAATCAAATTACAGGCAAGTTTTATGCTTAATAAAAATGAATAATTTTGAAGTAACTAATATTAAGTTCTTTTAAAATAGGTGATTCGTATGGTTCAGTAAAACTTGATATAAAAAGTTCAAAATCATTTTTAAACTTACAATCAGAACAAGAAAAGAAGAAAATTAGAGATAATTTGGCTATTGAACTATCAGAATCAGCTTCTGTAAGTCCAGATCGTATAAAGGTAACCGAAAGATATCAAAATGATCAAGGACAAGTTGTACTCTTATTCTCAATAAGTGCAACTGATGATCCATTTAAATCCAGTGCGAACACTATTATGAAAGATTTAAATACTTTAATAAAATTTAAATCTTACTAGTTACTTGAAATCCATATTCTCTATCCAACATATAAGTATTATTATATAAGGATATTGGTGTGTAAGTAAAATTGTTACTTATTATCTTTCTTTTTCTCTAAAATATACAATAATATTTTTCTTTTCTTTTAAAAAAGGTGATTTATACGATAAATACAAGGCCAGATTTATTTCTAGTGTTATCATTACATCTTTAATAATTGCGACGGTAATCTTTTGTAAAAAGAAGTATCCAGGAAATGGAAAGTATTTAGGGAAAAATATTACTTTTTAAAGATTTTATTAATTATTTCAGATTTCACAATGGATTTTTATTTTGCTATTGTTGATAGTAAAAAAATTAATTTACAAATACCAAGGTATTGACATTTTAATTTATTTATTTAATTATATTTTTTTGGTTTGAATTAATAATTAAATTTTAAATTTTTTTTGGTTTGATTTAATAAATTTTTTTTTTTAGTCTTGTAATTTTAATAATCCCGGTAGTAATTAATTTAGTACTTATAGTAAAAACTACTTTTGATGATGATAATTTTCGAGATTGGTATAAAAAAAGTAGACCAAAAGCTTTATTATTTACAATATGTGGTATAGTTGATATTGAAACTTTGAGTATATGTCCGCTTGGTTTATCTAAAGAAACTGGTTCATCTAAAAAACATGGGTCATCTGAAGAAATCAGTTCGTCTAAAGAATTTAGTTCATATGAAGAAACTGGTTTACCTAAAGAAACGGATTTATCTAAAGAAACGGATTTATCTAAAGAAACTGATTTAACTAAAGAAACGGATTTATCTAAAGAAACTGATTTAACTAAAGAAACGGATTTATCTAAAGAAACTGATTTAACTAAAGATGGTCCATTTAAAGAACATGGATCATCTGAAAAGGCTGGTTTATCTAAAAAAACCTTAAAATTGATTATATGGACTGGATTTTTTATGTTTATTATTGAAGACATTCCTCAATTAATCATTCAAGTAAGTTAAGCGTAATTTTTTACCATAATTTTGGTTAATTTCAATCTTTTTAACTTTTTTTTTAATTAGGTTATATATAAACTTTTAATTGTCAATTACGATATTATTCCATTTATAACACTTACTATAAGTTCTTTAATCATTATTAGTGGAATTTTTAGTAAATTAATTGCTATTGTTGACATGAAAAATAGCAGCATTCATAGTATTCATGACGAGAAAAATGAGACAAATAATCAGGTGACACTGCCGATCGTTTAATCGTTATAAAGTACTTATGGTGAGATTGTTAATAGATTTCAAGAAAGTTTATGGTTAAATCTTAAAAATAAAATTTTTATTTTATTTCTTTATGATTTATTTTAAAATAATTTAAAGGACGAATCTCCACTCAATAGGAGAAATTTAATAATTCCGATTTACACTAAAATCAGTTAAACTTCATCATCTCATCATGTGATATGACATGTAAATTTTAAAGATAGTAATTAATAGTGTCAATCTTGGCTATGAAGTCCGCGTCTTCGACTTCACTATGGAGGAACGTAAGATTCTGACAGCTAATTCAAATTTTTTAAATGATTTATTTTTGACTAAAAATAAGTTAATTTTTAGTTTTTAAACATTTATTTAGTTTTAGTTGAGCTTTTTTTTTTCTTTTATATATTTGCATGGTTCCCACCAGTTTTATGTATATATCCCATAGTACTAATTTTTAAAACAATTCCCTTAACCAAAAGAGTTACTGTATACTGTTTTTTTTTTGTTCATTAAAAAAGTCTGTATAATAAAGAACATGAAATAATGAAGCCCGTAAAATTAATTATAGATTGCCGATGCCCGATCATTTTCTCCTATTCTATTCTATTCCGAACTATCACTTATAAATATTAATAAAATGTTATTCTTTATTTTATACTTACTAAATAAGAAATAATAAATTATTTCTTCTTTCATTCTACACAATAATTAATTAATTTATTCAACATGAAGTGCCAAGTAATATTTGTCACATGAGTAACTCTAAGAGTAACTCATGTGAAGAAAATGAAAATTTATTTGTCGCATTTCTATTTGTCACTTGGCTTGTATAAAATTCATGTGCATCTATATGAGGTCTGGAAATAAATAAACGAATATTCCAGGTCATTTATAAACTCAGCTAATCACTCACTTAGTGCGACAGGGGATTATAATATATATGTACTGCTGTATTACCGTGCGTGACAAATATATAGTTCAATACAAAAAATTTTTCTGAGATACCGTTTAATATTTATGATTTTTGGATAAATTTACATGTTATAATTATCCGGGTCTTATGAAACTATTTAAGAAATGACAGATAAACTTTTTTATTTTTTTCACTCGAATAAATATATATTTCCGCAGCAATAATATATTAAATGTCTGATGACCTAACTGCAAGTTACTCACGCGTAATGTAACACATAATCTTGATGTGAGTTTCATCATGACTCATGAGTAAATGAGTATAATATAAATATACTATCTCATTACCTTTAATTTTTTTTATCTTTTTTTTTTCGTCTTTTTATCTTTTTTTTTCGTCTTTTTTTTTAGGTCTACCTTTTCTCTGTCTAGGTCTTCTCTTTATTAGGTCTTCTCTTAGGTCCCTTTTCTTTACGTCTTCCTTTAGGTATGTGGGTTGGGAGTGTGGGTTTGTGTATGTTTATGTATTTCCTCCCTTTTCGTATTTCGTTTTCCCCTTTCCCTTTCGTTCTCCCCTTCCCTGTCGTTCTCCCCTTTCCCTTTCGTATTCCCCTTTCCCTGTCGTATTCCCCTTTCCCTTTCGTATTCCCCTTTCCCTTTCGTATTCCCCTTTCCCTTTCGTATTCCCCTTCCCCTTTCGTATTTCCCTTCCCCTTTCGTATTCCCCTTTCCCCTTTCGTATTCCCCTTTCCCTTTCGTATTCCCCTTTCCCTCTCGTATTCCCTTTTCCCTGTCGTTCTCCCCTTTCCCTGTCGTTCTCCCCTTTCCCTTTCGTATTCCCCTTTCCCTCTCGTATTCCCCTTTCCCTGTCGTTCTCCCCTTTCCCT